ACAAATTTTAAATATGATTTATTGATTTAACTATAATATTTATTTTTATATATAATTTATTATAAATTTTAATTATATATAATAAAAATGTAACTTGTAAAATACACAGACTAAAATATTAATATTTTTTAATTTAGATAAAAATTATAGTATTATATTATATTGTAATTTGTTAAATATACGAGAATGAAAGGAATCCAAATATTGTACAAGTATGAGATTGTATAGTTGAAGATAACTTAAAGGAATTAATTTGTACTAATTATACAAATGAGATGCATCTACTCTTTGGTAGCTTATTCCTTAAGAACTTCACAGTTAAGCATGCTTGACATAGAGTAATTTAGGGATGGGTGACCTTCTGGGAAGTTTTTCAGAAAAATGTGCTAGTGACGACAAGGTACGCCGAAAAGTCTTGTGTTAATTTGTGGGGTTTGTGGGGTCAATCTTTGATCCTAAAAGTGGGTGAATATCTCAAAAAGGGTTACCCATGAAAGGTTTTGATTGGTGAAGGGTCCTGAAATAAGCAATAATTTATAAATTGTTGCCTAATATCAATTTTGTTGCTTGTTTCATATTTCAAGAACAATTTTGTTAATATTAAAAAGAGAATAGTGCACGCTTTGATCAAGTGTTGCCTATATGTGCTTTTGGGAACGGTTTTATGATTGTTGTCAAATAAAGTTCCAACAGTTTACAAAATTGTTGCCTATTCCATATTGCGAGAACACTTTTTTAGACGTTGCCTAAAAACTCGTTGCCTAATATAAAAAATGTTGTAGTGTTAGTGTTATTTAGATTATTGCAAATTTGATGTTTCATGAACGCACCAAACATATAAATGTGGATTGTCACTTTATTCGTGAAGCTTTCGATGCCCATGTTATCACTCTTCCTCATGTCATTCCACAACTTCAGCTCACTAATATTTTTATCAAAGTTATGATCTCGCCACCAATTTCTACTTAGTAAATTGATGCTTCTTGATTATTCGTATCAAATTAAGGGGGATGTTAAATAAGGAATATGTCATTATTTTGCTTTCTGTTATATGGGTTGAATATTAGAAATAATATCAGCAATTATTATTTTTTCCAAATAATTATATCATGAATTTTGGAATCAACTTTAGTTAGCAATTAAGGGTTGTAAAACATCTTGTAATATTTATACAACAAAATATAACGAGAGCAAGAAACAAGCCAAAAATTCTTGACATAGTCTCCATAATTTTAAATACAAAATTTTAGTCCTCTTGTCAAATTGACATCTCCTAATCATAAAATTTTAACATTTATTTATACTTAAATGATGTGATATTTAGTTACATAACATTTAGTTATACAAATAATATTTATTATAAATAATATTATTTAGTGACATTAGATTTATTTAAAACAAATAATATTTATTAATAAAATAAATATCAATCACTCATTAAAATAAATACAAACAAAGATCTTTTGTATGTTTTTTTAATTTTATTCCTAAATATCGGGTCATTAAATATCACATTAATTAAACGATGATTGGTTAATGGACAATATTAAAGTTTAACTATTAATGAATACCTAATTAACAGTAAGATTAAAAATTCATATTTTTAAAAATAAGAAACTAAATGTCTCTAGTTTAAAATGGTAGAACCAGAATTGTGGATTAACAAAAATAGGAGATTGAAAAATAGTTCACCTCCAATTAGTCAACTAGAAAATTCCTCTTCTTCCTCTCAATCCAGTCCATCTCTTCCTACATAACTTGAGAGATCCTTCAAACCTTTTGATAATGATCCAATGTAGATCAAATCTAAGTTAGGAATAATATAACATAGAATTCATCCTTAACTATTTCTCACTCACATTGAACCTAAAAATGTCAAATAAGTTGTGACTAGTCCAAAATGGCTTGTTGCCATGAAAGAAAAGTATGATATCATTAATGTATAATGACACTTGGACACTTGTTCCCTTTCCTCCTCACAGATAAGTTGAAGGATGTAAGTGGGTGTTCTAAGTTAAGGAGAATATTGATGGTTCAATAGATAGATACAAGGCCAAGTAAGTGGCCAAAGGTTTTCATCAAGTTTCAGGTTTTTTACTTCAATGAAACATTATCCCCGGTAATTAAACTCGTTACCATTAGGTTAATTCTCACCTTGGCACTAAGTAAACATTGGGTTACATCAGCTAGATGAGAATAACGTCTTTCTAAATGGGTTACTTTATGAAACTATGTATATGCAACAACCTCAAGGGTTTGAATCTTCAAATCATTCCTTAGTTTGTAAATTGAATAAGGCCTTATATGGTCTTAAATAAGCTCCTTGACAATGGTTTGAAAGACTGTAACAAAAACTTCTTAAATTTGGTTTCAAGGCAAGCTAGTGTGATCCATCACTTTTTGTTTATACTCTAGTGACTAATGTTGTATATTTAGTGGTTTATGTAACACCTCATTTTTTTTAAAAAATAAATTAAAATATTATACGAGAAATATTTTGTTAATAAAATAAAAGGAAAATGATAAATTAGATGATTGTTGGCTAGATTTTGGACCCATCTCAAAGGCTAATTAAAAAGAAGAAAGAAGGAAAGGATTAGGTTATTGTGCATGTCTTCTAAAACACAGAGAACTCATAGGAGGAAACCAAGAAGAGATCATTGAGGAAGGCACAAATTAACGATCGAAGCTATAGGAAATGTGTTGTTTTGCAGGATCGTCACTCCAGATAAGGGGTGTCAAATTTTCAAATTTGTTTGGCATATATGAGGGATAAAAGTAGAGGGGCGACCCCTAAGCCCGTAGGTTTTATGAATGAATTGATGCTTTATCCTCTTATATTACATGAATTCGAGTGTTGATTGACATTGGATTGAGTTGTTGGTGTAAATTGATGTATTTGTGGATTAGGATATATTATGTATGAACTCAAGAAGTTTGATGGATTGAATGAGTTGCATTATTTGAAGGTATATTATTATTATTTGAGTGTGGATAATCTAATTGATAGATTGGATGATGAATTGAAATAATTGATGTGTTTGTAGGAAAGTTTGAGGAAATGAATCATGTAGATTGCAAGTTTGTGAGGAGAAAGTTCTACGACTACACTGAGCATGAGAAGGATCATGTTAGGTGCAAGGCTGAGAGAGAGGTCTCAAACCTCTCCACATTGGGTGTGAGGTGTTGCACTCAATGTCATTTGACGTCTATTTTTCGAGGAAGTGATGTCAAGTGTGGCCTAATCTACACCGATTGAGACTGAGACAAAAAAGTCAAAGATCTTGCCACACTAGTCGTAAGTGATCCCATGTCGGATGTGGGTTTGGTAGAGATATCTTTGGCCTCTCTACACCAGACACAAGTTATAACTTGTCGGGTGCCACACCTTTTATTTAAAAAGTTATTTTGTATATTTTAAAGGATAATTGAGGAGCTAAGATGAGATTCCTAGACAAAAAATTAAGAGAAGTAATTAATGAATAATATTGTGAAAATTGAATATATATTACTGATGTTGTTTGAAGACTCTATCTTTAGAAGTAATGAATGTTGTGATGATGATGATGATATATATATATATATATATATATATATATATATATATATATATATATATATATATAGAGAGAGAGAGAGAGAGAGAGAGAGAAAGATAGAGAGAAAGAGAGAAAAGGGTTATAACACTGGTGTAACTTTTACTAAGTATTACACCATTCAATAACTTTATATTAAATGTGAATTTTGTAAATCCAACCGTTAGATTGAAAGCTCATATCACTTTATATGTTTATATAAAATTTTATTAAAATTGAACAACAACTTGAAGATAAGCAAAATGTTCATATTTTAATATATTTTAAAATTTATATATTACGTCAATTTTGTTTTATAAGAATGAAGTATCAAATCATCTTAGATTAATATAAAATTTTGTATATATGATCTAAGAGTAAAGAACTTTCAATCTAACGGTTAGATTTACAAAAGTCACATTTAAAATATATATATATAGTAATCAATAATGATGTGTAAGATTATGAAATCTATTGTTACGTTGAAATACCATAGAATAATTATAATGGATTGTGTGATGAAGTTTCATAGGCTAATATGATGATGTTGTACAAGTTTTTTTGGAATATTATTAAATTAATATGTTGAATGGTTGAGATGTGATGATGTCTGTTGTAATGGACATGATAAGGATGAATTATTAGGACGTGATGATGCATATTATGATGAAATGAGATGAATAAGTTCAGTGTTACGAACTGACACTCAAGGATATGAGTTATGCATCTTGTATGGTTGTGATGTGTGTATTAGTCCAAGTATTCATGTTTATTTTTGCTTAATAGTGTGAATTTATACAAGTGGGATATCGTAGGTCATCTACATGTCCTGGGGTGTTATGATGAGAAAAACTTTATCAGAAATGGGAGGCTACCATGACAAGCTATAAGACTTCGACAAGATCCTAATAGACACCACCTAATTGAAGTGGTTAGGGGGATCACTATTGATGGGTGATCCTTAAACTATTCGATGGGGTGATTTTGTTCCATTACTCTCAAGCTATTTTGTATTCTCGATAATAATGAGATTAGTACCACGTGCATATAGAGTTAGAAGCATACATTACATTAGTCTTAATTTATGATTGAGATATATTGTATGACTTGCTAGGTGCGAATGATGAATGAATGCATGAAGATAATTATAGTAGTTGTATGGAAGGATGCTTATATGTGTGTGAAACATGATTGATGTTATAGTTGAGTGACCTTTGTACCTTATATATGTTATCTACGGATAAGATGTATTCTCACTCATTATGTTTGTATGTTTGTATTTGGGTTGAATGCCAGTTGCAAGACTAGTATAGGTACAAGATGTGTTTGATGAGAGAGACACACAAAAATGAGTCTTGCTTTGATTAGTGTGACATCAGGGCAGAGATTTATTTTAGTATTTTAATGAATTTTTATTTGGATTATAGCTCCTTATGTTTAATTGTTGGGATTTAGTTTAAAAAGGTAGTTTGTGTCTTGTTTTAATTTCACACATAGTTTTCTATGTTTTTAGTAAAGTTGTTAGAGGAAATTATGAACCCTTTTATGAAATATTAACGCTTTAGAAAATTTCTTTTTATGAAAGGTTAATATATTTTTTAAATTATTAAATTCTTTATTTAATTATTCGATCTAGAAGGGTGTCATGATTTATGTTGATGATATATCATCATTGACAATTCATCTCTTCTAGTTCAAACTTTGATTAGAATACTGCATTCTATCTTTGGGCTCAAGCATCTCTGTTCCCTTGAATAAGTTTTTTGGCATTGAAGTCTAATATCAAGCCTTTAGATCTGTTTACTTACCCAAAACTAACATGACAAAAACTAAGCCTATCTCGTCGCTTATGACTTCAAATTACAAACTATTAAAGAATGGTGATGATCTTTTGCTAGATCTTACTCTTTGCAAGTCTGTGGTGGGTTCTCTTCAATATGCAACAATCACTTGACCAAAAATTAGTTATGTTATTAACAAAGTCTACCAATTCATGTCTCAACCACACTACAAAAAAATACTTATTACTGACGGACTTTTTCCCTCGGATAAATATCCGTCTGAAAAATGACATTACTGACAGATTTTTTCGAAGGATATGTGTTCGTCTGAAACATAAATGATTTCGACGGATATTATCTACGAATTTTTTCCGTTTGAAATTTCAGATAGATGTTACCCACGAATTTTTTCTGTGGGAAAATTATGATGTTTCAAACAGATATTTCTCACGGATTAGCTGTTTTTCTTTTACTATAGAAATTCTCAAAAACACTTCTAAACTTATATCCAACTAGATTATTTCTCTTCTTAGGCATAATTGCCACTCAAGTTTCATAATTTCGCAAATTGTCACTCAACTTTCAAATTTACACATTTTTTTTACCACACTAATAAAATTTTGCTCATTTTGTAACCATGAGATTATTTCTCTTCTTAGGCATAATTGCCACTCAAGTTTCATAATTTCGCAAATTGTCACTCAACTTTCAAATTTACACATTTTTTTCCACACTAATAAAATTTTGCTCATTTTGTAACCATGTTAGTTGATCATGAATTGACAACTGATATATCATGTCAACTCCTAACAGATTGATGAATGTCGTTAATATGTTACATTAACCGTTAATGAGACATTAATTAGTCAACTAAAGAAGTGACAAAATATACAAAATTTTGAAAATTGTGATAAAATGTGAAAAATAAAAAATTGAATGCCAAAATACACAAAATCATGAAACATGGATAACATAAAGTGCAATTAAGTTCTCTTCATATATTGAGAAATTGGGTTAAACAAACACATCTTTTGAAAAACTCAAAATAATTAAGCAGCTTATTTATTCTAAAAGAACAGGACAAAATAGTATCTCTTTTTTTAAAAAGGGTGATGGAACTTTTAGAAGAAAAAAAATGACTACTCTCTTTGCTTCCTCAACTATCCCCACTCTTTCCCCTTTCCCGTCTCTCTCTTCTCTCTCCCAATTCTCTTCCAGTTATCCCAGATTATCTCTTTTAAACTAAAAGAACTAAAAATTGCCAAGCAGTTTCTACTTTATTTTCAAAGAATATTTTGAGTTTTAACTAAAATAATTTTTGTGAAGTTGGGCCAAACACAGCCTTAGTAAATATCAAAAGATAACCTACGGTTTACCTCATCCTGGCAATTCTTTTGGAGAATTTCCATTTTCTTCTGTTGATCTTCCATCTCAATCCTCAATTTGTCCTTTTCTTTTGTCACAACAGATAGTTTGTTCTTGAGATTCTGTCAAGTAACCTGATATGATCAGTAAACTAATACTGCGTGGATTCTCAGACAGATTTTTATTCCCTATCCCGCCTAATTATAAATACACCGCAATATCCTATGTATAAATCCTTTACTAGTGGCAATGAAGGAAAAACCTGAAACACGTTTGAGTTTGATAGATTATCTCCTTTATCAAGAACATGTAGTTCCTGCCGAACTTCATTTTCTTTCTCTTCTTCAGGACAGTCATGCAGCTCATGCTCCAAGAATTGCATCTCAAAATTTGCTTTTGACATCTACAACGCATGCCAACATAAAGACAATTATGCCTTGTAGTATGTCACAAGCTCACAAAAATATTAACAAATATTCCTTACTTCTCGGGATTGTTTGCTCTTGTCATTGGTTGTTTCGAGGTGATTTTCCAGTTGATCCAACTCTGAAACCTTTTCTCTGTAGCTTTAAAATAGCACCACAGGAATAGTGATTTATTTTGTTTGACAGTTAAAGCTAGCGAGCCATCTTTGAAAAATAAAAAACAAAAGTGGGACTAGCAGACGGGACTGTATTGAGTACTCAAGCATTTCTAATTTGTTAGTAACCAATAGAAACCACCCAAGTAAAATATGAGAATGTCCAAAATGCAAAAAGATGACAAGTAAAAGTTGAGATGTGTTGTAAATAAATTTTACATGAGAAAAACGTGAAGGGAATGAAATTGCAGCTGCATTAACTGTTTCAGACTTTCAGTTCGTCATTAAAAAATCAATGAAGTGTAACTGAACATCCCAAAACATAACTTATTGGATACACTTGTATGTTTCTGTGCCACTACCATCAAGCATCCAGTCAAAGATACAGAAAATATGCAAATTGTCAAAAAATAACAAAACCTTCCGCCCTGCCCCCTATCACTTCTAAACTTAGTAACAACTAGATTATTTCTCTTCTTAGGCATAATTGCCACTCAAGTTTCATAATTTCGCAAATTGTCACTCAACTTTCAAATTTACACATTTTTTTTACCACACTAATAAAATTTTGCTCATTTTGTAACCATGAGATTATTTCTCTTCTTAGGCATAATTGCCACTCAAGTTTCATAATTTCGCAAATTGTCACTCAACTTTTTAGCCATCATTACGTCATCCTGTTAAAAAACATACAAGGTACAAATATTTTACTGGTATATGCAATGTAATAAATAAAGGCCACATTTTTACGCGGATAGCCCAATATGATACTTACCGCATGCTTTTTGACTTCCATAGAGGATAGTTTCCGACTCAGTTCCTCAACATGGACCTTTTCCTTCGATAACTGAAAGAATGTCATAAAGTGATTAATGAAATTAGGATATCGGATAAAGAATATGCCATAATGTCATTACTGAAATTAAGAAGTGTTTGGCCAGCTTTTTTAAGGCTTTGAACATGTTTGAATATAAGTTATAAATGTTTTTTAAAGCTTCTTTGCTGGAAAGTTTTTTGTTTTTCTTTTACTATAGAAATTCTCAAAAACACTTCTAAACTTATATCCAACTAGATTATTTCTCTTCTTAGGCATAATTGCCACTCAAGTTTCATAATTTCGCAAATTGTCACTCAACTTTCAAATTTACACATTTTTTAGATAAAAATTATAGTATTATATTATATTGTAATTTGTTAAATATACGAGAATGAAAGGAATCCAAATATTGTACAAGTATGAGATTGTATAGTTGAAGATAACTTAAAGGAATTAATTTGTACTAATTATACAAATGAGATGCATCTACTCTTTGGTAGCTTATTCCTTAAGAACTTCACAGTTAAGCATGCTTGACATAGAGTAATTTAGGGATGGGTGACCTTCTGGGAAGTTTTTCAGAAAAATGTGCTAGTGACGACAAGGTACGCCGAAAAGTCTTGTGTTAATTTGTGGGGTTTGTGGGGTCAATCTTTGATCCTAAAAGTGGGTGAATATCTCAAAAAGGGTTACCCATGAAAGGTTTTGATTGGTGAAGGGTCCTGACTAACGAGGAGTTACGTGAAGTATCATGGAATGTGGGTTATTACCCACGAATGTGGGTAAAATTCGTGGGTAATTACCCACAGATTTTAATTCCGTCGAAAAGTTACCCACGGATTATAATTCGTTGGTAAATGTTTCGGACGAACAATTTATCGACGAATTATTGTCTGTCTGTAATCCATCGGAAATGAAGTGTTACCCACAAATTTTTTGGATTATCCACGGATTTTGGTCGTCTGTAATTTCAAATTTTCTTGTAGTGCCACTTGAGTCTCATTGATCAACAGCCAAGCACATCCTTAGGTATCTTAAGGGTATTTAATAGTTTAGTTTACAATATCTTCCATAGTATCCCAATCACTCTCTAACCTTGTGTGCTTATTGTGATGTTGATTTTACTACTAATCTCGATGATTACAAATCCACATCTGGTGTTGCTATATACTTGACTACTAGTCTTATATCTTGGCGGTCCAGGAAACAAATGGTAGCAAGATCAAGCATAGAGACTGAATATCATAGTCAAGAACTAGTCATTGTTGATATTCTTTGAATTCAGACATTGCTCACTAAACTTGGTGTCTCTTTTCAGCTCCTATTATCTATTGTGGGTATTAAAGTATTGTATCTCTTGCATATAATCCTTTTCTTCATGCAAGAATCAAGCATATGAAAATTGATTTATTCTTTGTCAAAAAAAAGTCTTAAGTAAACAACTTAATGTTCTTCATATTCTTGCTCAAGATCAACGGGTTGATTTCTTAACAAAACCACTATCCTCAACCAAATTTCAATCTCTTAAAGGCAAACTCAAAGCGTTTGAGTCGTGTTGTTTGGCTCACCCACCTTGAGTTCGGAGGGGGATTATGGATATTGTAATGGGTAGTTATAATTTTGTTTTTGGTTTTGCCAACTAACATGTGATAGCTATTTTTAGTTGCTTATAATATACAATTCAAATAGTTATTGTTTGAGGTATATACTTTGTTGTAACTAACTTAAGATATCAATGAGAAATACTTCTCTTCTCACTTTACCTTGAACTCTAAAGTCTTTGCGATTCTAACAAAAAGTAACAATAGAAAATTAATAAAAACAAAGTGCGTCAATTAAAAGTATAGTATTTAGCATAATTTAAAAATTTTAAGTAGTTTTCAAATCTTATTGAATGCCCATGATCTGAATTAGATATTGTAATACTCATTTCAATGTTTGTGCTTAAAATTTCACAAGTAGTTATTGAAACTCAAACTAATTCATTCATATATATTAAACATGAATAATTATTTTACATGAAAATATTTTTAAGGATTTCTTTTTATCAAAAGTGTTTTTTTTAAGAGTTTATCTTTGACCGAAGTTCTTTTTTTAGAGATATTTCAATTTATATTTATTTCTATATTAAATTTTAATGTTTTTAAGATAAATTATCAATAACTTATTATATATCAAATTTTAATAATCAAATCATTAAATTAAAAACTTTTAATATATAGACAAATCTACAAATTTTTTAAAAAAATAAAAATCATAATTACTCGTTATAAAATAAAATAAGTTTACTAAAACTTTTTTTTAAGTAAATAAATCTCTCTTCTATCATAAATATGAAATTTAATTTGTTTAAAAAATATCTACTTATGTAAAATTTAAATATAATTTATACTTGAATATAATATTTATTTATGTATATAATTTATTATAAATTTTAATTATGTATACACTTGTTAAAATACTACTTTTATTAGGAAAAGCGTCCATCATTAGTGGTTGTTTTGAAAGTACTCATTTATTGCATGTCTAAGATGAATAGATCATCATTATAGTACTCATGCCAATATCGATGCCTACAATTTTTGGCGAAAAATTACCTTAGTTAAAGTTCAAACCAATTTGACGAGTCTATTCAATTGCCAACCCTCCGAGTGTTGCTGTGTTTTGTAGTGCTCAAGAGAGAAAGTAGAACATATTGTCACTTACTGTGTTTCGTGATATAATAACAACGATTAGGGGCTTGTGTAATTGTGCAGGAAATTCGAGGTTAGTTGTTAATTTCTGAGGAATTGTATGAAATTGCAGCATGTGTCAATCAAGATTTCACTATTGACATCAGATTACAGATTACTGAGGCCACTTGGAGTGATGGGCTTAATCACCTGTATTTCATAAACGAATGAAGATGCGAGATTACATCTTTTAGCATACAAATTTCCTATTGCCCTTTGACAGCAGCAAGCTGTTTCATTAGGTTAAACACTTCTATTCCTTTTGCAGCCAACTGGTCTTTATACTTCTTATGTGTTATAACTAATTCATCGCTTGCTTCCGTATATCTATATCGAATAGTATCTAGCTTTGCTTGTGTTCCGTGGAGTCTCATTTTCAGCTTAGCCATCATTACGTCATCCTGTTAAAAAACATACAAGGTACAAATATTTTACTGGTATATGCAATGTAATAAATAAAGGCCACATTTTTACGCGGATAGCCCAATATGATACTTACCGCATGCTTTTTGACTTCCATAGAGGATAGTTTCCGACTCAGTTCCTCAACATGGACCTTTTCCTTCGATAACTGAAAGAATGTCATAAAGTGATTAATGAAATTAGGATATCGGATAAAGAATATGCCATAATGTCATTACTGAAATTAAGAAGTGTTTGGCCAGCTTTTTTAAGGCTTTGAACATGTTTGAATATAAGTTATAAATGTTTTTTAAAGCTTCTTTGCTGGAAAGTTTTTTGTTTTTCTTTTACTATAGAAATTCTCAAAAACACTTCTAAACTTATATCCAACTAGATTATTTCTCTTCTTAGGCATAATTGCCACTCAAGTTTCATAATTTCGCAAATTGTCACTCAACTTTCAAATTTACACATTTTTTTTACCACACTAATAAAATTTTGCTCATTTTGTAACCATGAGATTATTTCTCTTCTTAGGCATAATTGCCACTCAAGTTTCATAATTTCGCAAATTGTCACTCAACTTTCAAATTTACACATTTTTTTCCACACTAATAAAATTTTGCTCATTTTGTAACCATGTTAGTTGATCATGAATTGACAACTGATATATCATGTCAACTCCTAACAGATTGATGAATGTCGTTAATATGTTACATTAACCGTTAATGAGACATTAATTAGTCAACTAAAGAAGTGACAAAATATACAAAATTTTGAAAATTGTGATAAAATGTGAAAAATAAAAAATTGAATGCCAAAATACACAAAATCATGAAACATGGATAACATAAAGTGCAATTAAGTTCTCTTCATATATTGAGAAATTGGGTTAAACAAACACATCTTTTGAAAAACTCAAAATAATTAAGCAGCTTATTTATTCTAAAAGAACAGGACAAAATAGTATCTCTTTTTTTAAAAAGGGTGATGGAACTTTTAGAAGAAAAAAAATGACTACTCTCTTTGCTTCCTCAACTATCCCCACTCTTGCCCCTTTCCCGTCTCTCTCTTCTCTCTCCCAATTCTCTTCCAGTTATCCCAGATTATCTCTTTTAAACTAAAAGAACTAAAAATTGCCAAGCAGTTTCTACTTTATTTTCAAAGAATATTTTGAGTTTTAACTAAAATAATTTTTGTGAAGTTGGGCCAAACACAGCCTTAGTAAATATCAAAAGATAACCTACGGTTTACCTCATCCTGGCAATTCTTTTGGAGAATTTCCATTTTCTTCTGTTGATCTTCCATCTCAATCCTCAATTTGTCCTTTTCTTTTGTCACAACAGATAGTTTGTTCTTGAGATTCTGTCAAGTAACCTGATATGATCAGTAAACTAATACTGCGTGGATTCTCAGACAGATTTTTATTCCCTATCCCGCCTAATTATAAATACACCGCAATATCCTATGTATAAATCCTTTACTAGTGGCAATGAAGGAAAAACCTGAAACACGTTTGAGTTTGATAGATTATCTCCTTTATCAAGAACATGTAGTTCCTGCCGAACTTCATTTTCTTTCTCTTCTTCAGGACAGTCATGCAGCTCATGCTCCAAGAATTGCATCTCAAAATTTGCTTTTGACATCTACAACGCATGCCAACATAAAGACAATTATGCCTTGTAGTATGTCACAAGCTCACAAAAATATTAACAAATATTCCTTACTTCTCGGGATTGTTTGCTCTTGTCATTGGTTGTTTCGAGGTGATTTTCCAGTTGATCCAACTCTGAAACCTTTTCTCTGTAGCTTTAAAATAGCACCACAGGAATAGTGATTTATTTTGTTTGACAGTTAAAGCTAGCGAGCCATCTTTGAAAAATAAAAAACAAAAGTGGGACTAGCAGACGGGACTGTATTGAGTACTCAAGCATTTCTAATTTGTTAGTAACCAATAGAAACCACCCAAGTAAAATATGAGAATGTCCAAAATGCAAAAAGATGACAAGTAAAAGTTGAGATGTGTTGTAAATAAATTTTACATGAGAAAAACGTGAAGGGAATGAAATTGCAGCTGCATTAACTGTTTCAGACTTTCAGTTCGTCATTAAAAAATCAATGAAGTGTAACTGAACATCCCAAAACATAACTTATTGGATACACTTGTATGTTTCTGTGCCACTACCATCAAGCATCCAGTCAAAGATACAGAAAATATGCAAATTGTCAAAAAATAACAAAACCTTCCGCCCTGCCCCCTATAGATGATATATGTTCTTTATCTTATTCATGGAATTAATGAAATTCCTGTTCAGAATCAGAATCTAATATTCTGAATTTATTCTAATAATATGGTTTACATCACCTAGTGAGATAAGACTTTGATGCTGTAAACTTAGCAATGACATAGCAAGCTTCTAACCATGTCCATCAAGGACTTCTAAGATGGCATGTGATGAGGCACAAGTAGATGTATCCCACGACATCATTAAGTGATGAAGAACATTTTAATTTGTTTTCTAAAAAACCAACTACAACTTTAAAGGACCAAATCTAAAACTATTTTGAGCCACATTTTCAAGGAGTAAATATATTTTTCCCTAAGATAATCACATGCAAGAAGCGAGAGAATCAAGCTATCTTTCTCAACTTAATGCTTCCATTGGATTAAATCATACATGAAGAAAGAGATTGCTTGATCAACAAGTAGTTGGTAGTAAAGCACTTCTTTTATATAATGATAATGATGAAATAAGAGAAAATTGGGGAATCTGTTAGTGAATTCAACTGATACAGAATAGAAATTATAGAACTGAAACTAAATTATCCTAAGTGGTACAGTTAAATAGAATTATAAATTGTTTCTCATTCTAAACATAAAGTGTTTGTTATATTATTTTCCCACTAATCTCCAATATCTCCCTGGGTCAGGATAAGGCTCCCCCTGATTAGG